TCTGGGCCAGCTTTAGCTCTGAGGCTTGGCTCCAGCTCTGAGGCCTCGGCTGCTGAAAGCAGGTATCTGGTTTGTTTGGGTTCTATAATTGTAACACTGTTGCGGTCCTGCTCACTCCAGCTCTGAGATCCCGGCTGCCTGAAAGCAGGGATCGGCCTTTGTTCTATAATTGAAACAATGTTGCAGTCCTGCTGGCTGAAGCCCGGCTGGCTGAAAGCAGGTTTCTGGGTTTTTGTTTAGCTTCTATATTTGTAACATTGTTTCTTAAACTGCAAGCTCAGAGGCCGGCAGCAGCAGGCGGGGAACGTTGGCTTCCTCCGTCACTGAAGCAAGCAAGCCTCCTGTTCGCTTCAAGCTGCCTGGCTGCCGGCCGCCATCTTGGCTGGCAGTTAATTTGCCTATCGCCCTGATTAGCCAATGGGAAGGGTAGCGGAAGTACGGCTAATTACCATGTTTCTCTTTTATTAGATAGGTTGTGATAAGACAAGTAGATATTCTGTGGGAGCATATAGGCCAGTGATTCCCAAAGTGGGCGCTACCGCCCCCTGGTGGGCGCTGCAGCGATCCAGGGGGGCGGTGATGGCCACAGGTGCATTTGGGGGCGATGAGTAACTGCTATTAAAATTTAAAAAAAATTAATTTCCAGGGGCTGAATAATATTTTTTCTGGAAAGGGGGCGGTAGGCCAAAAAAGTTTGGGAACCACTGATATAGGCCAATCACCTTCCCAGACATAGCTAGAATTGAGGTTGTCTGAACATCTTTCAGAAGTAATGTTTTAGTTTATTTGTTTTTAAATTCCTTCAAGTGAAAATGCTTAGGTAAAGGAGGCCCACCTTTGTGAGAATTTGAGTGTGTAAGAATAAGCTCCTGAAAGCAAAGAAAGCCTCTCCTTTCAATTTTCCAGTAAAGAATTGAAATTTTTAAAGCTCTGAAGAAATGCTCTCATGTCATAGAGGACAATTTACTTAAGAAGCTGACGATAAAATCGTATGACTTAGGAGTGGTGGGCTCAAAAGATTATTCACTGTATAAAAGGTTTACTAATTATAAAGAAAAAAATAGATAATTAACCCTTACTAAAATTAAGATCTTCTATTCATTAAAATCTACCATTAAGAAAGTGACATATACTGGGGGAAAAATATTTGCAGTATATGTCTGACATGACTAAGAACTTTTATCCAGAACATATAAAGAATGCCTACAAATCAGTAAGAACAATGGGCAAAATACTTGAAGAGACCCTTCAAAAAGAGGATATTCAAATGACCATTAAACATATGAAAAATTGCTGAGCATCATTATTCATCAGGGAAATGAAAATTCAAACCACAGTAAAATATACTCTGCACCTGCCATAATAGCTAAAATGAAAAAGATGGACTATGTCAAAGCATTGACAAGGAGTAACTGAAATTTTCATATTTTGCTTGTGGGAATATAAATTATATAACCATGTTAGAAGATTGTTTAATGATTCAGCTATTCCGTAACTCCTAGGTACATACTAAACAGAAATTTGTTCACATGTTTGCTAAAAGATAGATGTGTGTATGTGGGTGTGTGTACGTATTAGAAAGTTCATACATTATTGATAGTTATAAAAACTGATAGCCATTCAAAGGCCCATCAAGAGTAGAATGGATTAATTGTATATTCATACCATTGAATATTTTACAGCAACAAGAATGAGTAATCTATTACTACATACAACAATGTAGAAGAATCTCATATACATAACATTAAGAACAAAACCAAACACAAAAGAATGTATTCTGTATGGTTACATTTATGAAGAGCAAAAACAGGAAAAACTAATCCATGCTGGTAGAAACCTATGTAGGGAAAGAGTAAAGAGTGGAAGGGAGCATGAGCAGAGCTTCTGGGTTTGATGATAATGTTCTCTTTCTTGATCTAGGTGCTGGTTACATAGGGATGTTGGGCTTGTGAAAATACCTAGCTGTGCACTTTTTTTTTAAACTCCTCACCCGAGGACATGCTTTTACTGATTTTAGAGGGGAAGGGGGAAAGAGAAAGAGAAACATCAATGTGAGAGAGAAACATCTATTGGTTGCCTCTCGCATGCACCCCAAACAGGGATTGAACCCACAACCTGGGTATGTGTAACTAGGAATGGAACCCATGACCTTTTTGGTGTATGTGATGATGCTCCAAACAAGTGAGCCATACATGCCAGGGCTAGCTGTGCACTTTTGACATGTTATGATGTTATGTTATGTTATTTTTGAAAAGTATTGCTTTTAAATGCTATAAGAAAACTACTAGTAGCCCAGTGCACGAAATTCGTGCACTGGGTTGGGGGGGGGGGGGAAGGGGCA